CTCATAAATCCCTAACCAGGAAAATCACAGTAATGACACTTTAATTGGTTATATGTCACTTTATCTGTGCTGCTGATTATCCATGCTGCTGATTTCTTGCCTTTAAGCTGCTATATTCATACCCGTCTGCTCACTACAGATTCATGTTCAGGCTGCTGTTTTTAATATATCGTGTTTTTTTACACTATTATTGTTCAGTTTTTATCTTAGATCCTTGTATATTGTTTCTTTATATACTTTATATTTTTGCTATTTTGGTGTGTAACTGGGATTTTGAGTTCACAATTCCGTTCCACCTTATGTATCACATGTGATATGAATGACAATAAAGAACCTTGAACTTGTGGTTGTACATTCAATGATTACTTCCTGAATATTTTTACTAAAATCTGTCTGTTTATGAAATACCTTGCTAGGAGACTAATGGGGTTGACACCAACAGTCAATGCAAAAGTTTAAAGCAAATATGTAGTGCTATGTGTAGCAGTCAGATTATGTGTTGGGGATGATGTGCAGCTACTGCACACTTAATTTAGTAAAATATCTGTAAAATGAGCTGCATTAAAGCTGCTTTTGTGTTGGATAAGGTTGTTTAGCTGTAACTATAAATTGGAATTTTGTGGACTCCTAAAGTTATTTAAAATGTACATATTTTTATAACTATATGAGAGTTTCAGTATAAGCTGTCCAGTGGTTCATGAGATTTTTTGCTAACAGACAGGCTAAGTTGACTGACACAATGAGGCAAAAGTTTAAAAACAGATCAGATGGTGCTCATAGCTTGTGTTAGGAATGAATCATAGCTACACCGAACAAAAATATTAACACAAAATGTTTGTTTTTGCTTCCATTTTTCATGAAAATAGACCCTTTTTCTCTCATATATTGTTCATAAATGTATATAAATCTGTGTTAGTGAGCACGTCTCCTTTACCGTCAGTATCTAGTGACCACCGTTTGTCTCATGCAGTGCAACACTTGTCCTTCACATGGAGTTATTTTTGATTGTGGCCTGTAGAATGTTGGTCCACTTCTCTTCAATGTTCAAGCTCCAGCCAACATTATTGTCATTTCCATCACATGCGCTACATGAGGTGGAACGAAATTATGTGTGAAATTGCTGGATATTGTCAGGAACTGGAACACGCTGTCGTATACGCCAATCTAGAGCATTCCAAACGTGCAATGTGTGACATGTCAGGTGAATATGCTGGCCATGTAAGAAATGGGATGTTTTCAGCTTCCAGAACTTGTGTACAGATCCTTGCAACATGAGGCCGTGTATTATCATGCTGCAACATGAGGAGAAGTGGTTTGGACATGTCCAGAAGAGAGACAGTGGGTATATTGGTAGAAGGTTGTTAGCAATGCAGATGCTAGGAAAAAGACAAAGAGGAGATGCAGTTAGAGAGGACATGGAGTGAGGGCAGAGGACAGAATGAGATGGAGGAGGATGACTCGCTGTGGAGACCCCTGAAGAGGGAAAAGCCAAAAGAAGAAGAACATGAGGTGATGGTCATGGTAATGGATGATACCACAACAATAGGCTTCAGGATCTCGTCACACATTCAAAATGTCATCAATAATTGGGTTTCATCCAAAAAGAGAACACCTCTCCAATATGCCATATGCATCGAATGTGAGCATTTGCCCACTCAAGTCAGTTGCAATGATGAACCACAGACAGGTGGAGACCCTGATGAGGACAACGATGACATTCTGACAACTGATGGACATTCCTGCCGTCAGCATGCCAATTGCACGCTTCCTCAAAACTTGTGACGTCTGTGGCATTGTGCTGTGTGATACAACTGCACATTTTTGAGTGACCTTTTATTGTGGGCAGCCTGAGGCACACCTGTGCAATAATCCTGCTGTCTAATCAGCATCCTGATGTGCCACAACCTGTGAGGTGGACGGATTATCTCAACAAAGCAGAAGTGCTCACTAACACAGATTTACACAAATTTGTGAACAATATATGAGAGAAAAGTCCTTTTGTTTGCATAGAAAAACTTTTAATCTTTGGGTTCAGCTCATGAAAATTGGGACCAAAAACAAAAAGTGTTGCGTTTATATATTTTGTTTAGTGTACTACCAAATTATATTTAAGTAAAGTTTTATTAAAGGCCATGAACCCATTCTGAGCAGGGCCAGGACCAAATTTAGATTGATGATGTCTCAAAAACTACTCCAACTTTAAAAAAATAATTAAAGCTGTTCATGCAAACACGGTAAAAATCACACATTTACATGGGACTTTATTGGCAAACATTGGTAGCAGCAGTTGTTGTTGCAGTTGTTGCTGTTGCACTTTTGCTGCAACCTGGGACCCTTTCAGAAAGTATATAATTGAAACTCTACTGAAATAATAAGCGCAGGGGGTGGGGGGTAAAAGCAAACAAAACATCAATTGCATGAGATGCTATGAATTCATTTTATATTGGTGTGGTTTGAAGACTGCAACTATCTACAGTAGTCGTAGTTCTGCTTGAACTAGCCACTGTTTCACCACACTGATGCTATTCAAATAGCCATCTTGTACATGTAAGATATTATTTGTTCATAACCTGTTCACAAAACCCACATCAAAATATCTGAATTATTCCATTTTCACAAATGGTGACAAAGAATAATAACTCTGACTGAAGCACAAGTCTACCATATGGATAAATAATGAAAAACAAAAAAGCAACAAAAATAAAACAGCAAACTAAAGTATTTATGATTTTAATCTGAACGCAGCGCACATGTACAGCTGAGTCGTGGGTTCGTGTCCTCAAGTCTGCTGCTCTGCATATCATCTTTTTAAACGTGCTCACTCAAAGCTGCACAGTTTTACAGCAACCACAAATGGTATTCTGAACTCGGAGGAAAGTCTGTGACCGTTTGGTTGTGGAGTTTGACCCCACAAAGCCAACTGTTGGTAAGTTCACGAAAGACCACCTCAGGCACCAGCTATTGTTTACCGTCCTTTCTGCCAACACCTCCACATGATGCCCTGCATCACTAATAGTGCAGCTTTTTTCTGCATGAAACACACACATTCAAAACACCTGAGCTCTTTCAGCACCGAGGCATATGCTTTTTTAAACCACATAAAGTAGGATTTGTCATTCATGCACAGTGTAATTTTAGATTTTAAGGGAAAGAATTTGGGTTTAAAAATCACTGCAGGAGGTTGCTGTTTCTTTACTTTATTTCTTCTTTTTAATTTTTACTCTTTTTTTTTTTTTGCTGTTGTTGTTTGTAAGTCAATGTTTTAGACACGGAAAATTGACCATCTGTGGCTTCCTTTGCACTTGTTCGAGGGTCGAGAAATGCACGACCCCAAAAGCAACGTCTCTGCCCACTTTGTGAATGCTCGACACACACAATCTGTTTTCTTTTGAGCACCGTTCACGCTCTTTGCACCAAATAAATACAGCACCTTATGAATCATACCGCAGAGAGCAACGCTGTCTGCAGCAAGCATTCAGAGAACAGCCCTGAGCTTATCTGAGGCAGAGTGGCAGGCAGCAATCTGTAAGCAAGGCTGCGGGGTGAAAAGCAGGGCACCTTGTCCGAATCACTGAGCATACACAAGCACCTACTCTAGGGTCATCTAGCTAATGGACTTCTAGACACACTTTCTTCCCGATATGTCTGTGCTCGGCTAAAACAGATGTCTGTGCAATGACAAAAAAGAATATTACTTGGAATGTATAAGTAGTATACAGTTTTCTATTTTGGTTTTCTTATCAAAAAAGATTAAATCAAAGCTTCTGCGTGTTAAATAGATTTCACGTTTTAGCAGCTCCTCAAACACAGCACAGAAAAAAATTCTGATAAATCTTCCTGTGGATCTAAATTTCTATTGGCAAGGACACGACTGATCTCTCGCCCTCTGTAATCTTGATTTCCTCTGGTAATACCCGTCACCGTGAACTCGTGGCATTTTGCTGCCTTTGATGATTGGCCCAGTGGTCTGCAACCAATGGCCTTCTTGCCACCAATTCATGACCCGTCAACCCCAATCCTCCCACCAATCCACCAGGCACACAACACACAGCACAGAACAAATGTCCCAGCGTCAGAATCAATCCAGACAGGCTTCCCATCCTCCGCTCATAAAACTGGCATCTCATTTATCCAGGAGTGAGGGCTATGGTAAATAGAATGACACAGCTTTTACACTTTTAGCCGCAGAAGGCTCCTGAAGGATTCAGATTGTTTCGCCTCGAGCCCAATTTCTCCAAAGATCTACCTGAATGCATGTGTGAAACATTAATATCTTTTGCTTTTGTTGACGTGAGACCACTTTTGAGAACGTTTCCTATTTGGAAATGTCTTTTTATATTTTCCGCTGCATTATTATTTTTTTCCCCCTTCCAACACACATGTGTGCACATTTTAAAGTTAGGCTGTTGGAGCAGGAAGTGTTCAGCCTCACAATATTGAGTGGATTGAAAAGACCTCTTGCTGATGTGCTTGAGGTGTGAAAGAACAGCGAGGACCTGCGCACACGCTCAAACACACGCGCAGCTTCGTCTCCCCTTTGAAGTTCTGACAGCAACTCAGCTTCCTCTCCTCTGTTGAAGCTTGAGATCATAATTATTTACCATAACCGGGGCTCACATCCGCCTAATGAAAACAAAAGTTTGCCCGCAACGCTTCGGTCATATTCTATTCAAGGCAATTTCTCAGGGAAAAGAATCGCACGGATCAAATTGAGAGAGAGCAGTCTAGCATGAATATCAACTGTGATAGCTCCAGAAGGAGAGCGCAGAAGCATTCACCGTCTATCGCTGCGATCTTATGAATAGAAATTCTCAAACTATCTGCTGGAAATCTTAATGAAAACCATCACTGTAAAACATTGCAGATGAATCATTTGTTAAACTGCTGATGATAATTAATGAGGGGCAGTGGCTGCAACAGACAACATGACACAGGATGATTCTTGTTCTTTCTTTATCCGTTTGTGAGGTGTTAGCAACCCGAGCAGCAGAGGGACTCACCAATCATGTGGATGGTGGTTCGGCCCGGCCTCGTCCCAGGACGCTGTTGGATGGTGTCGTAGAAAGTGGCCTGGCACAGCTGGATGGCCGTCAGACTGAGCCAGAGGCACAGGCAGAGCAGCCAGGACATGACAGGACACATCTGCTGAGGACCGGCAAAGGTGCAGTCAACATTGTGTTCTCGACCTTTGACCTCATGACCCCAAAACAAACCACTCACTTCCTGAGTCATGTTGAACCACACATACAGGCACACACTTTTTTTCAAGGTTTTCACAGGCACTTCCACAGTAGAGTTTATTTAGTCACTGACATCACATAAGTATGAGTTCTTCACTTTTTCTTCCTGGTTTGTTCCCGTCTAAGCCGCAGCACAGCAAATGTGGAGTGATCCCGGAGGATTTTATTTGATTTTTTTCTTCTCTCTCTCATTCAGCAGCGATGTCCCCTGACAGGGGCTGACTCTCTTCAACTCCTGAGCCGTGCTTTTGCCTCCAAACTAAAATCAAACTTATAGAAAGATGTGATTTCACAAGCAGCTGGCTGCCGAGCCTTTCCTCTGTGTGTCAGAATAATGTGACAGCCACTGGGTGTTAACAGGAATCAGAAAGGCTCGTACTGTTTCACCATGCTTTGCAGTTTTAAAACACTACTGTATCACGAGGAACGTTTCTAGTCCGTTGGTTTTACTGTTTTTAAGTTGTTCGTTTTATTGCTTTTACTGTGCTGTTTGATGATTTGGTAGTTCATTACTTTAATGGTATTGCTTGATTTGATGGTTTTTGTGCTTGTATGTGTTGGTGTACAGCACTTTGGCCAACGGGGTTGTTTTTAAAGTGCTTTATAAATAAAGTTGTATTGTATTGTATTGTAGTCATTGGAAGAAAAACAAAGCTAAAAACTAGTAATTTTTCAACCTTTATTTAAACAGGTTACTCCCATTAAGCCACAAGGACTCATTTACATATATTAATGTAATAGTTTTAAATCTACAAAACTGAGCATTAAATTCACACATTCTTATCTCAAATTGTAGAAGTTATTTATTTACACATTAAAGTGTTTGAGAGCATAAAACTTTCATTAAATTATTGTGCATTTGGCAGCTGTTCACTTTTTCCAGATGTTGATTAAGCTTTTATATATGTTAAATGGAAGAGGATAAAGAATACATTTAAGCTTACTGACAGACTTTACACAGGTTTTCATTTGTCTTTTTTTGTTTTTTTATTAAAGCATAATTTGCCTCATGTACATAAAAGTGTTCTACTTTTACAACCAAGGATTTAAATGAGCAGAAAATAGTAAAAATGACATCTTACCTGAACAAGCCAACACACTATGTACAGATATCTCAACAGAGAGTCATACATCCATCCATCTTTCTACTTCTGCTGATCCCATCCATGAAGTCTGCATGTGGCTGGAAGAAGGACCTCCTCTGACTCTGCCTCCCTGCTTCCACACTTTGACAGAAACAGTCCAGTGACTCAGAAAGAACCGTCAGGTCGGAGTCAGGAAAAATAAATTTAAAGCTCTTTTCAGTTCCACCTTTTGAAATACCACAGCTTCACCTTGAGGAGGAGCCCCCGCTGACACTGAATTCATTTGCTCCCTCGCATTTACAGGCACATGCGGAGTGCTCCTTAATTAACTGTAGTGGAATCTCTTCTTTCACCGTCTGCATTCTTCCAGTGAGAGGCAGCCTGCGAGCAGCGGCTCTCTCTGAATCCCTCCTCAGCGAGCACTGAGAGACAAATGCTGCCGTACAGCCTGGCTGAGTGTAAAAACTGTATCACATGTCTTAAAGCCAGACTGCCTCTGGATTAGAAGGCACTGTGGGACTCTGTCTGATAATTGCAAACCAGAGAAGCTTCTGACCAAATGAATAAGATATTTTAGATTAAAAAAATAAAACAAGACGCATAAGAATTTTCAGGAATTAAAAGTCAATCCAAAAGAAAATCGGCAGAAAGTCATGCAGCATAGAAACAAGTTGGAAAGAAAAGACTTAAAAGTCTCAGCTTATCTCATTCTTGATACTGGATAAAACTGGGAAATAACATATTTTTTTCAAGCAGAGTGGAAGGAAATATATAAAAAGGATTGTGTTACAATAAAGTACTCAGACAGGTGATCTTCACCTGTAGTCAGGAAGTTCTTCAGTTTTGGAAATGTACCGGCAATGATGAGTCTATGAAAAGCAGAGAGGTGAGGGCTGTTATTTGAAGCAAATAAGCAGCATACTGTATAAGTGGGGAAACAGCTCAGTCGTCCCTGTTTTCTGTCACCTTTACTGCATGGTGAGCTCTTGTTTGGAATAGTGATTTTTCTATCACTGGCACACAGAACATACCCAAGGTCTGCAGCTCGCACTGCAATCTCTACAGCACAAACGCTGCATTTTATTTTGATGCTTGCTCAGGAAGACAGAGGTGCACTCCAGGTTCAGAATACCCACGGCGAAGCTTCTCTACAACTCTGCATTAATTTCTGAGAGTTTGGCAAGAGTGGAGAGAGGATTGGGACATACTGTATACGTACTGTAAGCTAAATGACATCAACCGCTGACTTGTTTTGAGAGGACTATTTTCCAGAGATTGTTTAGTCATTAATTGTTCCGAGATCCCAGCATCCGATGTAGGTTTTGTGTTTTGACAAGAGGGAAGTGAGATTTATTCAAGCCATCTGTTTCACTGGGAGTTTGCTCAGAAATTTATGGAATTCTCAGAACACAACAAAACAACAATTTGCTTTTGCCTTAACAGAAAAATATGTACCATCATTGTGGGCTTTCAATATACAGATGACCAAAGGCGACCCAGTTCTGCTCAGGAGCAAAGAGGTAAAAGTGTGAATCAGCAATGGAAAAGCAGAAAAACATTTCTATCCATTTTCTTTTCCTTTCTTTTCCTTTCCGGGTCATAGAGAGCTGGTGCCTATCCTCAGGGGCGGTCCTAGCCTGTTTGGTGCCCTGGGCAAACAACCACTCTAGCACCCCCTCCCCCAAGTCCGCATCACCCATCTCCCTCTACCTCAGCCCCGGGAATGTGAACACCCTCCATCATTACATATCAGTTAGATTATCATGTACCATCACAGACACACTCACAATTTATTTGAACATTTTATTCGACAATCTTGAAACTGAAAGAAATAAATACTGCAGAAAATAAATACAAGTAAAATAAGGCATCTAAATTGCACCAATTGAACAATTAAGAAAATCAGTGTACAACAAGAATTGTACACAGATTGTTATTGCACTTTGATCAAGACACTAACTTGAATGCACAACTGTCAAAGAAGGTCTGAGCTTTTTTTGAGAAAAGACAATTTACACTACTGCACTGCAACAAGAAAATACTGATTAAAGTGCACAACAACTGAACACTTGTTCAAAACTTTGCGAAACGTAATGCTACCCCCCAATCCCTCCCCCCGTTTATTATTATAAAACATTATTGCATTTTGTGTCATTATCAAACATACATACCATGCCTCGCAATTGTTATTTTATAGGCCATAAAACTGTTGTTGAGAAGCAGCCTGACCAGAAGTAGCCAGCAGTACAGAGTAATTATAGAAAGCTAACATGACTTTCCCTGGTAATGTGAAGTGGCTTATCGACTGTCATACTGACATGGCAAACAGCTAACAACTAAGATAAAACAAACATGTCTACAAATATGTTCAATTTGTGAAATATTCAGAATAGAAGACAAATCAACACCTCGCCCAGTTAATAGATATTTAACACGGTCCAAGCTTCATCACAAGATTGTTGCCTTTAGTAATTATAGTAGCCTAAGATTACTTCTCCATGTAGTAGTTTAGTTTTAGAAAAATATCAGTCTTCAAAACTGTAATATTTTCTGCTGAAAACCAAACACGATATCCTAAGCAGCAAAACCTAAACAACAGTTATTGTTTAGTGTGTTTTATATTTTATAAGGGGCAGATATAAGAACTTTTTCTTCTTTCTGCACTCTTTTCATTCAATGTTTTCTTTTTGATGATTTTTTTTTAATTTTGTTTCATCTAAATGAATGAATAAATGAATTAAATTAAATAAATTAATTTTAAATTTAAATTAAATTAAATAAAATGATAAATGGCTTCAAACATCTGCTAAGTTCATGGCATAAACCAACAGACATGTTCCTGTTTTTAGTATTTTACATCACTTTATAATGTAGCTGTTTATGTTTTTAATATATATAATTTTCAAATCATATGTTTTTTATGATTGTCTACTGTTGTACTGGTAAATATCTCCTGGAGGGTAAACTATATCTTGACTGCAAGGATCAAGCTGCAAAATCCTTCGTTTTCTACAACTGATAGTGGTTGGTCATTAATTATGATGAAGTTTAGCAACTTCTCTGTAAACATTTGAGCTCCGTGGTTTCAGCGACGTCTACTTCTTGTTCAATCTGAAGCAGGCAGCCTGATTTGGGGCAGCCGCGCTCAGTCTGTCCCTCCTCGGAGACGGGCAGACTGAGTGGGGCAGATTGGACGCGGCTGGCCGGTGTCGAGTCGCCTCTTTCAGTTTGACCAAAGAGTAGCGCCCCGCTGAAGCCACGGAGCTTGAATGTCCATCGTAAAATCCAAAAAAGTTCAATCTGGTCCTCTGGACATTCAAAAAAACAAAAGCAAAACAAAGCAAAAAAAAAAAATTCTAGAAACGTTTCGTCTCTCATCCAAGAGACTTCCTCAGTCTGAGGTGCTGTATTCAGTTCAGTCTCTTAAATAGCACCTTCTTAGAGTGGATCAACCAGTTTGCTGCTGACAACCAAAACCAGCTGATCACATGCTCAAGAAGGACCATCAGCCTAACAATGGGTCATTAACACACTGATGGCTGTTTACTACTCACAGAGGGCTGAGTGATACTAGCAATCACAGCATTGTAAGAGGGGGACAGTTGAACCACCCCTGTTTAATGATGGACAATTTCTTTTCACAAAGATGGCCTCCTTTACTCCTCTCTCAAACCATCGTTCCTCTCTGTCCAGGATGTGATCATCTTCATCCTTGAAAGAGTGACCGCTGGCCTGGAGATGAGTGTAGACCGCAGAATCCTGGCCTGATGATGTTGATCTTCTGTGCTGGTCCATCCTTTTGGCCAGTGGCTGTTTAGTTTCTCCGATGTAAGACTGATCACAGCCCTCCTGACACTGAACAGCATACACAACATTACTCTGTTTGTGCCGGGGGACTGGATCTTTGGGATGAACCAGTCTTTGCCGTAATGTATTTTGGGGTTTAAAAGCCACTGGGACGTTATGTTTAGAAAATAAACGTCTCAGTTTCTCTGATACCCCCTCAACATACGGAATGACCACTGGTCTGGGTCTGGGTTCCTCCTTTTCACCTGATGGCTGACTGGAGTCCTGTTTGGGTTTCTTCTCTGCTTTTAGGAAGGCCCAGTTAGGATATCCACATTGCTCTAGAGCCTGTTTTGTGTAGGATTTCTCCTTCTGCCTGGCTCCCGAGCTAGTGGGGACGCTGTCTGCTCTGTGATACAGAGTCCTGATGACTCCTAACTTGTGCTCCAAAGGGTGATGGGAGTCAAACTGCAAATACTGGTCTGTGTGGGTGGGTTTGCGGTACACCTCGGTTTGCAAATGTCCTCTATCCGAGAATGAGACCTCACAGTCCAAGAAAGCCAATTTGCCATTTTTTCCATCTTCTCGTGTGAACTTGATGTATTTATCCACAGAGTTGATGTGGTCAGTAAAATGTTGGACTTCCTGAGATTTGATTTTAACCCAGGTGTCGTCAGTTTGGTTGTCAGCAGCAAACTGGTTGATCCACTCTAAGAAGGTGCTATTTAAGAGACTGAGCTGAAAACAGCACCTCAGACTGAGGAAGTCTCTTGGATGAGAGACGAAACGTTTCTAGGATTTTTTTTTTTTTGCTTTGTTTTGCTTTTGTTTTTTTGAATGTCCAGAGGACCAGATTGAACTTTTTTGGATTTTTCTACCTGGATTATTGAGCATGCATCAGGATGTCCATCGTAAAACTAACTTTAACGTGGTTTATTGTGGCGCTATGGCTCTGCAGACATTGCACGTTGCTGTCTTGTTTTTGTGGTGTTTCTAGTGTAAAATACTTCCACACAGCGGACATGTTTCGATGAAAAGTTTGTTCTCAGTCCTCACATTGTAGCTGGCTGCAAACTATGGAACGGATTTCCTGAATGTGAGACGGGTCTTACTACTCTGGGTTCATGAGACACGCCGCCGTTCAGGAAATCCATTCCATAGTTTGAAGCCAACATGCATCATGGATCGGAAATATTGGCAGGTGGATCGGAAAAATCCGATACGTAAATTATGCTGGTATCGGAGGCCGATACCAATACTGGA